TGATTCAGAACACTGTAGCCCAATTCCCATGTCAGAGCACCTTCTGAGTTTGGAACTTAGAGTTCTCTCTCTAAGCATAATTTCTCAGCTTTATGAATAGCTATGCCATTGAACCTCACAGATTCCATTTGCTTACTTGAACAAACTCAGAGCATGTCATTGGCCATATTTCATCCCATCAACCTCATTAGTGACAGTTTAATGCTATACTGATTTAGAACATCTTGTCCTCAAGTTGTCAATGTTTGCAAAGTGGCCAGTTAATCCAAGGAAGCAAAGGAAAGAACTTCACTATCTTGAGTGGTTCCAAGGTTTAATCAGAATGAGTGTTCTTTATCAACAGTCCTAAGAATGTTATCCTCAAGATATTGTATTCATCAGAAGCATAAAGGAAATGGAAGTGAAATAAATACAAATGGCCATTTGGGGGCAGATAGTATACAATTTTGAGTCTTATTCATTTCTAGCTCAAATGGATAAAAAAAATAAAAAAGTCATGGTGTTTTCTCTGTGTTACCAACCACTGGGCCTTCCTGCCCCTCCCTCTTGTTCTTTATCATTATGATTTCCTCTTCTCTGGCTTCCAAATCTGAAGAATCCAGGAGCAATATGGGCTTGGAGTTTTTATATCTCTTTTTTATTTGGATATCTGAAGCCTTGACATGTGTTTCTTCAAACAGAATCAGTGACATTGACTTTGTTGACCTATATATGCACTCAAATTTTGGTTCATAACAACTGTTCAGAGAGTATATATTCTTCCTGTCTCCTATAAACCCTATGACATATTAGAATTCTACTCATCTGCTGACTTGCTTCTGGTGTGGCCTGCCCTCGGCCCAGTTTTAGAACAGCCAATGGGGCCATGACTAGCCAGAACCATTTTTCATCCAATTGGTCTCCTTCCAGCAGTTTCATATGGCCTCTTGCTGTAAATCACTCTGGGAAAATAAATGTCCCCAATCCATTAGTGACTTTCCACCACAAGCCAATTTGAGCCACAAACTAGACAAGGCTTGTTAATGGCCACTTAAATACATTCCTGAAGCCCAACCTGGAGACCTTCAGCTAGACTCAGACCTTACCGTCTCCTTTTCAAAAGACACGATGGCAACAAGGCCACAGGTCATCAGACCCTTATCAGTTAGGAGAACCACACAGCCTGGTTTGTCTGGGATCTTTCTAATTTGCCCCTGCTATCCCAGTGTAATTATCAACCATTTCACTTTCCAAACCATTTTAGCTTGACTGATAGGGCTCTGTAAGGTAGAGATGTGATGGCAACCAAAAATAATAGGTTAGGTAGTAAGTCATTTATTAACCATTAATTGTATATAAAGGTCTTGTGTGTTTTACCTCATTTCAACTTCAGTACAGTACTAGTAAAGGAGGTATCACAATTATCCCCATTTTACAAACCAGTCCTCTATTAGGTTTAGGGTAACTAATCAGCAATGCCAACCAAAGAGTGAGATTGGACTTTATCTAGATCCCTCCTGGGGATGTTTGCTACTCAAAATTTTCTAAACAACTGTGCTCCATTGTATGAGCACCTCTGCTTAAGAGAGCCCACACTCTGATTAGCAGCCCAGACAGTGACCAAAAGGTCACCCTGTTTCTTGATCTTGGGGGGAACTGACTCTGCAGAGGGACCCAAGGGAGATCATAACCTTGTTTAGCTTTCTCTTCCCTGAACTACTTGATCTCTTTATCCTGAAACGTCTTCCTCAGTAAACTGCTTGCAAAAGGCTCTCTGTATCAGCTGCTGATCCCAAGGAGCTTGATCCATGGTATCCAATTAGCAAGGAAGGAGCTGAGCTAGAATTCAAGTTTGGCCATCTTAAACCACTACAAGGGTTGTCATACTGTCTGTGTTTTGCAGATGAACCCCAGGAAGCTTGGAGAAAGTGAGACAAGCTCACCAAGGTCACACAGAAGGAAGAGTAAAATGATTCTCTCTCTCTCTCTCTCTCTCTCTCTCTCTCTCTCATGCACTCATACACATACTCATTTGCTGCTTGGGCATTTAAACCTACTGTTACATAACCCCCCCCCACTCCATGCAGAATTTGTGAAATGGGTCTCCTATCAGCTGACTTTTTTTTTTTTTTTTTTAAAAAAGAGGGAAGAACCCTCTGTCCTTCCAACCCTGTGGCAACAAGCAGTGGCTCTTTCTAAACTGCACTTGAATACACCTTTAATTTCCAGAAAAAAATAACCATATTACTCTTGGAATCACCAAAAAATGTGTTCCCTTAGCCATACAAAAGAACAACAATAGACCCATATTTATTTAAAAAAAAAACCAAAACCAAACAAACAAAAAACAAAGGACACAATTGTAGATGTCATGGTCTAGAGAGGCAAATCACATTTGTGGTATTTCCGAGGATCACACAATGGAATACAAGAGTAAAAGCACTGGGGACATGCAAATACACATCCTAAGTACTGTTTGTGTGCTACTTTTAACAAATCTCCCAATGTCCCCAATACCCAATTTGTTCTGTAAGAAAAATACCTGCCCAACCAGTCAGTGAATTGGAGGGTAAATGAGATAAAAATGTGTGTTTTTTGCTGCTTCTTCTTGTCCACTTTTATAACTATAGACTCACCAACTTGAGACCTTGTCCCAGGTCTGAGTAATACTAATTCAGATGTGCTATGCTTTGTTTCCAAGCAAAAAGAACATCCTATTTGATGATAAAAGGTTTCCATTAAAAACAGAAAGCAGATAAAAGGGGGACCTTCAGCCACAAGGCCTCAGTTGATTCATAAAAACATGGAATGAGTCATATTGCTCTTAAGGCAGAAATTTATAATCAATGGGCCTCTTTGGTTAGCCAATCCCAGCCCTGCAGAGGATGACAGGCCCAGCAAGCCATCTCCACAAGCTATTTCAATGTGGCCCTGCAAACTAATTCTGCTTCTCACTTGGTGAAAGGAAAAAAATCAATCTGGAGCTCTTTTTCACACTATATTCCTAGTACAGACCAGGTCTGTGTGGTTTTCTGAATAAGTAGGGCTATTGTGCGTGCATGTATGTGTGTGTATGTGTGCATGTGTGTATACATGGATACAAATGTGCATCTGTGTGTGCACATGTGTACATACATGTGTGTGCATAGTCAGTACATGGGTGCAAATGTGGGTGTGTGCATGCATATGAACATGCGTGTGTGTACATATGTGTGTGTGTACATATGTGTGTGTGTACATAAGTGTGTGGCTCAATTAAATAGTGGGTTTCTATGTCAGTCTCTGGAAATCACCTCCTTGCTTTCATCTTGAGATTATTTCAAAACATCCCTGCTCCTACTGGCATTTTCTTGCAGTTAGCACAAGGCTACTGAATGCAGAAGCTGGAGAGCACAGATTTACTCATACTGCAGCAACAGCTTTTTTCTTGAAATTGTGACCCTTACAGTTATTTTCTGAATATATCCTTGAATCCTAGACTTTAATCTTCAGTAAGAATGAAAGTTCCTAACACACACACACACACACACACACACACACACACACACACACGCACAATTGTGTATAAAAGTACATAGGTGCATAATCAGGTTGGCTGGAAGCTTCTCTTATCCTGAATTCCTCCCCTTGCCTGAGAAACCTCCAAACAGTGTTTAAAGTCAAGCAGGACCAGTTTCATATATGAAGAGCTAACCATGGATCATTGCTCTCTGCTCCCACCAGCTGGCTCCTAATCTGGCAATAAAACCCACCTGCTGTCAAGGTGATGAAGGGGCCAAAGGGAGCTCTTTGCATTTTTCTTGCCTTTATATCAGGTTGCAGATCCTGACTTTTCCCCCATCTGTCCTGAGGATGTTTGGGTCAGCGGCTATTTCTACCAAGTAGGGACACCAGGGGCTTAGGAAATCCAACCAACAGCCCTTGTAAGATTCGTGGTGACTATAGAATGCTGAGTCCAGTGAGCGACTCTGTCAGTCCCCACTCCACTTGACTTCAGGGCCATGGCGGTATAATGCCCCCAAGCAGAGATCAGCTTTCACATTTACACACTATGGGGAAACTCAGCTGTTCTAGACACATCTCCCCAGGAGGAATGGGAATAGAGGGTCTCTTATAACGTGGGTCCTTTCTGAGAACCATGCAATAGTTCCTAAAGAAAGCCATCTGGTTTTCTCAGCCACCAGGAAAAGCAGAAGATGCAGCGGGGTGGGGGGGGGGGGGAGGGAGCTGGGAGACTGCATCTCTGGCCTCACCTTTCACCTAGCTTAGAGGCTGGGGATTTAACCCTCTTGTTTCTCAGTTCCTTTCTTCATTTTCTTCATGTAAGTCCGGGGAAAGAAATGTACAAGGGGTGGGGGGGGGTGGGAGTGGGGACACCCAGCCCTGCACCCAATCCTCAGTCCCATCTGGATGCACAGAGGTGAAAAAAGAGATCAAGTGTCAAGTTCCAGCCAGGTCACTCAGTGGCAGCTGATTGATCTTGGCTGATCACTCATTTCTTCTGAGCCTGCCTCACCTCTAAGGCTGGGCGCCTGACTTACTGGGTCTCAGGAAGTATTAAATGGGATCGCATATCGCATATCAAAACTAAAAAAAAAAAAAAAAAAAAAAAAAAAACACCTCACCGGGAATAGTACGTATAAGGCGATTACCGATTATTATTTTTTAAACAATGTAAAAGATCAATTCCCACCCATATAACCCTCCGAGTGTTAAAGCTGAGTTGTCCTACAAGAGGAGAACAACACAATCTTCCACACTTCAAGTCCTGTGAACCACTATCATTCCTGTCAACCTACACCTGATGTGCGGGAAAGGGCCATCTCTGAGATCCTCCTCAGGCTCCACAGGCTTTGGCTGGGGTTGGAGGAGCTCAGAGAGCCAAGTGTGAATGTAAGGAGGCAGCCCGCTGCCTCTGGGTACTGGGTACCTGGGCAGCATCTCCAAAATAGGCTCTCCCACCCACTCCCGGAGCGCCCAGCGCGCAAAAGAGAAAAACCAGAAAGTCGTGGATACTGGACCAGGCTTTGACGCGGATCTTGAGCTCGCCGTCTTGTGGCTCTGGCATGGCCTTTCTGGAAAGCTTCAGCTTGTTGAGCCCGCCGAAGCCGGCCAGCACCACAGCGCGCATCTCTTGGGCATCCCCGAGGCGGTGGGAGCAGTCGCCGCCCTCAGCAGGCTCCTTGCTGGTCTCCTTCTCGATCATCTGCTCTGTCTCCTCCGCCTTCTCTACGCCTTCCTTGGCCATGGCGCGCAAGGGGCCGCGGGGCGCACAGGCTGTGGCTGTGAAGGGGGTCCGGGCTTCTCTCCCGCGGGTTCCTCCTGTTGAATGTGGGATGCTGTTCAGTGCAATGGCTGCAACCTCTGCGAGTGGAGCCGCGGTCCACCGCCTCCGCCGTAATCCTCAGAGGAGCCGCGCCCTCGCGCCCCCCACACCCCCAGCCCTCACATTTCCTTCTGCTTCCAACCAAACCTCAAGTCCAGCTTTTGTGCGATTCTCAAATCTGGCTCTTGACTGCAACCTTAAACATGGATTTTCCACAAGACTCTTGAATAAAACACACCAGGAGCTGCTGCCTGGATACTCCAACCTTTTTCGTGGGCTCAATACTTGGGTATATACGGCACAGACTCGGGCGCCTTGAAATGGACAGAGATGAATGTCTGGGCCTGGAGGAAGCTGCCTGGAGACAAGGTTGCCTCCTCTCCTGGCTGGCGGGAGGGTAGGGGTGGGCGGGATAGCCGGGAAATTGGGCTGTTTACCATCTGCTGTTTCTGAGTGGAACCGCAGGGAGGTGCGGGAAGTTAGAGATCCATCCCAATCAGGGCTCTGAAGAGCCAGGTCCAGTCTTTTCCCCCTAGTCCCTTGTCAAGTGGGATGCTCTTTCTGGACTTCTGAGGCTTCTTTAAGCCAGTTAGTTCTTAGGACCTATGCTTTTTTTTTTTTTTTTTTTTTTTTTTTTGAGCAGAGTCTCCAGAAGAATTGGGTCCCAGAACAGGTCTGGTTCCTGCTGGGAACCTCCTGGACAACACACACACACACACACACACACACACACACACACACACACACACACACACACACCACACACCACACACCACACACCACACACACACACCACACACACACACACACACACCCCTACAAGTCTATTGTTTTGAAAGTTTATAGAAAAGCGTACTTTCTCCAGCAGGGTGTGGTGAAACATCCATGTAGTCCCAGCACTCAGGAAATTGAGGTAGGAGAGAAACCCTGTATCAATGGGCCTAAATGAGTAAGAATGAAAACTCTCTGGGCATGGAGGTTCAACACCTTTAATTCTAGCACCTGGGAGGATCTCTGTGAGTCTGGTCTACATAGTGAGACTCTATCTCAAAAAAAATAACAAAAACGACAGATGCAACCCAATCAGGTTTATCACATAATAAACTCTACCTATTAAACAAAGGTCATCTGTGCTGTCTTAAACAATGGTATAGGAGTTGCCCTGTGCAATTTAAGGAAAGAGATACAATTTCTCATCAGGTGCATGTCTCAGTTCAGGTAAATCCTGCCTTTGAGATCTCAGGTGACATTACTCTTCTGAGCCCCAACACCCATACCTACTGTCCTAGTTAGGATTACCATTGCTGTAAGGAAACACCATGACCAAAGCAACTTCTCAGGAAAGAGTTTATTTCAGCTTGCACTTCCAGGTAACAGTCCATCTTTGAGGAAATCAGGACAGGAACTCAGACAGGGCAGGAACCTGGGGGCAGAAATTGCTGCTGAGGCCATGGAGGGGAGCTGCTTACTGGCTCACTTCTCTCTGCTTGCTCAGCCTGATTTCTTTTAGAACCCAGGACCACCAGCTCAGGCACCACCCCCAAAAGGCTGCAACTTCTCTCTATCAATTACTAATTTATAGAGTGCCTTATAGACAGATCTTATGGAGATATTTTTTCAATTGAGGTTCTCTATTTTCAGATAATGAAAGCTTGTGTTAAGTTGACATAAAACAACCAAGTACGTCCACAGAATGGTCACATTGAATTTTCAAACTGCACAGTATAAAGTGCTACAGTGCCTTAGCTCAGTGACTGTGAGGCTCTGTCTCAGTGAATGAGACTGGTGGAACATGGCAGAATGATGCTGTTACAGTCTCTCCTCCTTCCATCCATCCCATGCCTCTCCGTTTTCAAACTTTGGCCTTTATCTGGGGAAAGTTATTACATCCCCATCTTAACTCAGATGTCTACACCTGCCGTGTCCTTGACCTTGGATGTTCAGTGCACCACCTTCATCATGATTAATTTCTAACCCACTCTCATCCAGAGCATCAATTTCTTGTGCAAAGTTCACAAACTCCCAGGCTGGATTCATCTCTGTAAAAGTGCATGTCAGTTCGTAACTATGATATGATTTGTTTAGCATTGTCATGTTCCTTTGCCCAGCTTAAACTTCAGGTGAGTAGGAGCTGTATTACTTTTAAGCAACCTTATTTTCCTGGGGGTAGTTCATGACTGGTCCATAATCAAACATGTTTGTTGCATGAACAACTTAGCCAATGAAAGCAGGTGCTTCTGTGGAATCCCAGAAGATGAAACTATTAACTTATCCTATGAGGTTGGAGGAATTCTCAAGAAGGAGGGGTCAGTTCTATAGACCAAGAAGATTCTAGGCCCACTGAGGCACATCTAAGGTGACAGGTGGTCTTCAGATAATGCTCATATGTTTTGTGCACTGCAGTTTCTGCAGAGGAGGATGAAGGAAGCAACATTTGAGGCTGGTCTCTGAAACTTTTTTTTTTTTTAATTAAAAACCATGAAGGTGATCAACACTACTAAAACTGCAGATACAAAACAAAAAACAAACAAACAAATAAAAATTGAGGGACCAGGATTAGCAGAACTGCATTTTGGGGTAATAGAGTCCCTGGAAGCATAGTGATCAGTTAGAGATGAGAGCAAAGGCAATGGGAAATGATGCAAATGATAAGAGCATCCCCTGAGGAAATAGCGATGAGTAGGAGGGAGAGGGCAGATGGAGGCAGAACAGAATGTCCCTCTTTAGTGAACTGAACGTTATTGTAAACCCGATTAAGAACCCTGTTCGCATTGAGAAATAGTGTTAGAATTAGAGTGCCCATGGTTTATTTTGGAGGTAATCCCAGGAAGCTTTGGTTATAAATTGTGAAAGCGAGACAGTAAAAGGATGAAAGCCAATACAGAATGCCTTTAAGAGCAGATTACCACCATGGGTGAGTGGGGTTAAAACCATAGGACACCTTTGGGATACATTGTGGATGAAATAAATCCCAGAGTTGTCTCATCCAAGAAACGGGGAAATTGTTATTTACTCACTAAACTCTGTGTTTGACTGATCAAGAACTGTTCCTGGAAGTGTTTGCTCCCTGGCCCTAGGTCTCTAGGCAGAGAAAGTCCCCAGGCTGAGGACTTCAGCTGCTTCTGTGCAAGGCTGTCCTTTTGCACATGGAGTAGAAGTGAGTAGAGGTGGCTTCAGTGTTAATGACATTGAGCTATATGGTGTTCTGTTGACTACTGTTCTAGACATTACATAATACAATTTGATTCTGGGAATAATCTCATGAGGTAAGAATGACCATCTCCACCTTACAGGAAGGAAATTGAGTCTCAAGTGACTGGGCATATCTGACACCTCAGTTCTTTTGGATAAGATAAAACACTGACTGCAGATTCGTGCAATTAGCATCTCACCACATGTGTTTGTTGAACTGGGTCAAATCAGTTCCACCCCTTTTTAATATTACTCAGTGGAATTTTTAAAGGTGTCTGCTCGTTTCTTGGACTACTAATATCTCTATCTTACCAAGGCCCTTTGTGTTGTTTCGAAGCATTTGCCTTTGACACAAGGGAAGTAAGTCTGTGCTGAAGTTCACACACTGCATATTTAGGAGATGGTGTTTGTCTTATATAGTGTGTTGAATGGAAGATAATTATTCCCTACAAGTGAGTATTCTGGCTGTTAAAAAAACCCAGATTGTAATGGGTGGACAGCTGATTATCACAACAACCCAGAAGGAACACACCACACTTTGAGCTACTTGCAGAAGAATACTGTCCTTTGAGTCCAATATAACAATATAAGTAAGCATTTGTAATGTTGCTCCTCTCTAGTAGAATGTGGCAAGAGCTATGCTGACACATCTCCACATAAACAGTAAGTCAGCTTTTATTTGTTGTGAATGGGTTATTCCAGGCATTCTCTCAGTGTTTTCCTTGGGAATTACCTTACCAGAAAGGGCAATGTCAAACACTGACATTGTACCACTGCTGGTACAATGGGGTATTGCATCTCACCTCTGAACTGTAAATGGCTCTTTTGAGCACTGTGCATGTGTTCCTGAGCGTGTGTGTATGTATGTGAGTTTGTGCATGCCTGCGTGAGTGCACGTGTGTGGATGGGGGAGAGAAATAGGAAGAGGGAGGGAGGACAGGAAGGGGGAAGAAGGAAGGGAAGAGGGAGGGGAGAAGGGAGAGTGAGGGAGGAAAGGGAAAGGGAAGGGAGGGGGAGAGAAGTTAATTTAAGTCTAACAGTCTAGTCCAATTGATATATATTGGTTTAGGTTAGGCTGTCCAGAAGCAAACTGTTCTTAAGTCAGAGAGTAAAAAGTTATATACACTCTTTAATCAGGTTTATTCCACTGCATCATCTTCGATCCAGTTAGAATAATTTGTTATACATAAATCACAATAGTTGCTCTTCAGGATAATCTTGTGCCTTAGGAACTAGTATCCCTACTTTACAGAGGAGGAGAGATTTGCAAAAAAAAGCTGAATAGCTTTCCCCAAATCACCTACTAAGTGTGGCAGACTTGGGCATTGAAGTGTGAGCCATGTCACTTTGAAACATGAAATCTTAATCATTATTTGATAATGTGTATGGTTTTATATATTGTTCCACCTTTCTAACTTTTTGAAGATTTATTTTTTATTTATGTGCACATGTTGATGAACATGAGTGTGTCTGTGCACCACCGACACTTGTGCAGGAGCCCACGGACATCATCAGAAGGCATCAGATTCCCTAGATCTGCAGTAACAGGCAGTTATGAGCTACTATGTGAGTTCTGGGAATTGAACCCCTATTCTATACAAGAGGAGTAAACACTCTTGCCCACTGAACCATCTCTCCAGCCCCTACACATTTTTATTCTTAAGGATACTACTTACCTCCAATGGGCCAGAATCTAGCCTAATTTAATCTTCTTGCAATGGAGATTGGAGGATGTAGTGTTCTGTCAGTGAAGTGACAGATTCCCAGGAGAAAGTCAGAGTTCAGTTATTAATGATGAGGGGAGAGATGATATTGGGAGTAATAGTAGGACCTTCCTCAGATGACACAATGGAATGGTGGATGG